GAGCGAGGGACAGGAGAGGCAAGGGGAAGGACGCGAGAGCATAAAGTAGGTGTTTTGTACCCTACATGCTAGGGCGCTCTCCTAATTATAAACCAGGTCTACTGATAAAGGGTTATTAGGGAAATCTAGGCGGAGATACCCCCTAACCATTTTAAATGCATATTCATCACAAAATATAACTCTTCTGGTGAGATATTGCGCATGCGCGCGCACCGTGTTAGGCGTGCAGCGCCGTCTGAGGCAAACTTCATAATATAGCTTGCTGCATGAGAAAGAGAGGAGATGGGAGACTGAGGAAAGGCGGCAGAGAAGATAGTTGGGGGCGGGAGAAGAAGGAGAAGGCTGAGCGAGGGACAGGAGAGGCAAGGGGAAGGACGCGAGTGCATAAAGTAGGTGTTTTGTACCCTACATGCTAGGGCGCTCTCCTAATTATAAACCAGGTCTACTGATAAAGGGTTATTAGGGAAATCTAGGCGGAGATACCCCCTAACCATTTTAAATGCATATTCGTCACAAAATATCACTCCTCTGGTGAGATATTGCGCATGCGCTAACACACTAACATAACCAGATTGTGTACTGGCTGGTATACGCAGCCGGGACCTTACATGCAAGGTATTCCTCCTATTTCTTAAATGATGTCTACTGATAGAATGTTATCATAGAAATCGATGCTAGGATAACTCCTCTTCATTTTAAATGAATAATCTTTGCAAAATACAATTGCTCTCTGGAAACATTGCGCATGCGCGCGCACCGTGTTAGGCGTGCAGTGCCGTCAAAGGCAAACTTCATAATATTGCTTGCTGAAGGGGGAGGGAATGGGAGACTGAGGAAAGGCGGCAGAAAAAATAGTTGGGGCGGGAGAAGAAGGAGAAGGCTGAGCGAGGGACAGGAGAGGCAAGGGGAAGGACGCGAGTGCATAAAGTAGGTGTTTTGTACCCTACATGCTAGAGCGCTCTCCTAATTATAAACCAAGTCTACTGATGAAAGTTTATTATGGAAATCTAGGCGGAGATACCCCCTAACCATTTTAAATGCATATTCGTCACAAAATATAACTCCTCTGGTGATATATTGCGCATGCGCTAACACACTAACATAGTCTGATTGTGTACTGGCTGGTATACACAGCCGGGACCTTACCTGCAAGGTATTCCTCCTATTTCTCAAATGATGTCTACTGATGGAATGTTATCATAGAAATCGATGCTAGGATAACTCCTCTTCATTTTAAATGAATAATCTTTGCAAAACAC